CACAAGAGCTTGATCTAAGCCAATCTTGACTACAAATGAGTGCTTCCACAATTTTGGGATGCAAAGAGCTCCTAAAACTATCTAGAACCCGTCCACTAGTGCTAAAAGCGGACTCGGAAGGCACGGTAGACATGGGAATAGCAAACACATCCTTAGCCATTTCAGTCAAGATAGGATATCTCATAGCATTCACTTTCCACCAATTCAACACATCAAACTTCTCCGGAGCACCATCATCATCTTCACGTGGGTGAGCAAGATACTTATCTAACTCGGTTTTAGTTTCCCCAAGTTGAGGTCGCCTATAATCTTCATCAATGTCAATGTCATCATCATCACTACTCTTACTCTCCCTCCGTGAAGTAGGCAAATTAACAACGGCCACCTTTGGAGAAGAGGGTGGAGGAATAGGCATCCTAGCTTTGTAATATTCAAACAACTTCTCCAACTCACTTGTCAACTCTTTCACCAACTCACTTGCCCTACTCTCTCCACAAATCTTCTTCCAAATATGTTCCGGATAATTCAGTTTATGCCTTGGATCAAGAACCACAGCAACATACACCATTCTATTCATTCTCAAATTCAAACCCCCTTTCTCACACCAATATTTATCAACTTTTGCTTTCATCTTCATCCCCATCCTCACTATATCATCATCCTTGCTATTGAGCATCTTGTCAATGTGATAAAATACCTTCCCAAATTGTTGCAAGAATCGATGAGCCGTCACAACTGAAGTAGTGGATGCTAGCAATGTCAAATCATGAAAGAACTTCAGATATTTAATCATTACTCTAGCATTCTTCTAATCTTCATGCTGAGGAATGCCAATCTCTTGATTCTTGTACTTCTTCGACTTCAACTCAGGTTTGTACTCTCTATCTTTTCTCTCAAGACTAGAGAAAGTATCTTCAAATATCACAGCTGCTTCAAGCATGAAATAGGTGGAATTCCATCTCGTGGGCACATCTAAACACAACAATTTTTTGGATTGAATGTTGTGAAAGTCCACACAATCCTTGAACTTAGCCAATCTAGAAGGTGAGGATCTAACCCACCTCACAGCTTCTCTCACCCTTCTAATTGACATCCCCATCTCATTCAAGCCATCACTCACAATCAAGTTCACTATATGTGCAATGCAACGCATATGAAGGTACTTTCCACCTACAATGTTAGTACCCCATTCTTCAAGTCTATCCCTCAATTGCAAGATTGCTGTGTCATTAGAACTTGCATTGTCAACAGTGACGGTATAAACACTCTTCACACCCCATTCTTCTAAGCAATAGGCAATTGCATTACCTATGTCAATTCCCTTGTGACTAGTTAACTTGCAAAAACTAATCACCTTCTTGTATAGCTTCCAATTTCTCCCAACAAAGTGTGCTGTAATGCACATGTAATTCAAGTTCTGACAAGATGTCCAACTATCAGTAGTTATGGACACCTTACCTCCACACTTTGTTTTGAAATAATCCTTCAACTGATCCTTTTGTGCAAGAAACAATCTAAAAGCATCTTCTCTAATTGATTTTCGGCAAGGAATCTTGAACATAGGACAAGCACGTTGCATAAACTTTTTAAACCCTTCTTTCTCAACGTGCCTAAATGGCAATTCATCCAAGATTATCATTTCAACCAACCCCTCCCTCACATAGGCTTGGTCAAATTTCCAAGCACCTAATTTCCCTTGCCCTTAAATTGATGATTTCATATGCAAATTCATTTGACCACCCCTTTCTTGCAATTTCTTTAAACATCTTTTAGTATGAGCATCCAAAGTAGACGTACCATTTGCCGATGGATCACCAGCCAATGACTTCCCACAATAATGACATTTCGCCTTCTTCTTTCCCTCTTCATTCACATACTTGTCATAATGATCCCACACCGGAGACCGTACTTCATGCTCCCTCTTAGCTGGGGCTTTAGCCTTTCCCTTTCCTTTTTCCTTCTCAGTTGTAGTGGTTTCAGGTTGTGTTTGGGTTGTTGTTTGAGTTGTGGTAGCTGCTTCCCGTTCTTGTGCATGTAGCTGTGGTGTTGGCAAGTTGACGGGAGGAGGATCATTGCTACTAATTTCCCCACGAGGCACTTTAGGGAGAACACATGGCACATTTTCATCTTGATTTAGAGATCTCTTCTTGTTATTGCTACTACCCTGAAAATTTATCACAAAGACACAAACTTTATAAACAAAACGATGTTGAAAAAATTAACGAAATTCTATAATTTCATTTCTAATTTATGAACAAAGATAGAAAATTCATACAATCTCATCTCCCTTTCATATATATATATAACCCACCCATCTTACAACCCATCTCAATCTGTATTATCTGTATATAGTATCAAGCCCAAAAATTCTGCTAATTCGAGGTCTAGATAGTGTTTTCATACTCAAGGTATACGGCACCCTGGATTTCACCCGGGGTACCATAGAAGCCACCATATATATATATATATATATATATATATATATATATATAACCCACCCATCTTACAACCCATCTCAATCTGTATTATCTCCCTTTCAAATTACACAATCACACATCTCAATCACAGAATAAGAATTTCAATGTTCAATCCCAGTTCTCAAAGACTCAAACCCTCGACTTCCTCACTTACCCAGGCGATGCTGCTTCCTTGCATCTCTCGATTCTCTCTTGTCGACCTGGTTTTCTATTGCTGGGAGGAAGTGGGAACTGCTGCTGGTGGCTGGGGCGGCTGCATGTCTTCATTAGTGCATTAAATGATCAATCAACTCAGGGTGAAGATTGGATTGACGGGGAACCCATGAGAAATGGAGAGGCGAGGGTCAGAGACTTACCGCCGTTCTACCGAGGTCGTCGCCGCTCGCCGGAATCTGGAGGTGTCGTCGGCTCGTCGATTGCGTCTGGTGACGGAGGAGATCGACGCTTGACGGGAGAAAGGGCAGATGTGGTAGATGATGGCGCTCGAAGGGAGATGTACAGGAGACGCGGAGACGGGGGAGACTGCTATCGAACGAACGGAGATCGAAGGGAGATGATGGCGCCGTCGTTTTTGACTCGCCACTCGTCGTCGCTGTTTGCCTCGTCGTCGTCGTCGTCGCCGAGGGATAGCGAACCAGGCGGCAGGCAGCTGCGCAGGCCGCAGATGGAGATTGAAGGGGAGGCAGAGGAACGTCCGATTAGGGTTCCGCGCGCAGCCGCAGATGGAGATTGAAGGGGAGGAAGACAAACGACCGATTAGGGTTTCGTTTTGTGTCTTTCTCCCTTGTTGTGTTGGGCTCGGGCTGCCTGGAGTGGCTGGGTTAGTGACTTAGTGGGTTGGGAGAATTTTTTTGTTGGGCCTAGTCAATTAGTTATAATTTAGTGGGCCTGGTGAGTTAGTTATAATTTAGTGTTGGACCTGGTCAGTTAATCCATCCAGTTTTAAACAGTTTTCTGGTTTTAAACCGGCCCGGACCGGGCCGGTTTTTCCCAGACAGCCAGCGACCGTGAATTGTATTGGGTTGTTGCGAATTCGGTTTCCGGTTGTAACCAGAATGGTTAAAACCGTCCGGTTTCCGGTTTGACCGGAAAACTGGATCCGGATTCCCAGCCCTAGTACATGGATATATGGTGACCACACACAAACGATAAAATCCCATAATCAGTATCCATATATATGATTGAGATAATTAAACTAACAACAAACAACACAATCCGATAAAACAAAAAGACACAACAACCTAATTAAGGCGCAAGGGAGAAGAGAAGAGTCCCCGACCATCTCCTAGCTAACAGATTTTATTCCACTATATTCATAGCTAATACGCCGCCGCCTTAGTATTGTCCTTTTTGTCCTTTGTTTATGTGCTTCACTTGACACTATCAAACTAGGGGTGGGCATGCAGTTCGGTTTGACCGTATCGAACCGAACCGAACAAAAACCGACCGAAACCGAATTAATCCTTATTAGGTTCGGAGTTCGGATGGAAATATACCACATTTCGGGAGCCAACTTTAGTTAAACCGAACCGAAAAACCGAACTTCCGACCGAATTTCCGAAATTAAAAGTGGCCCAACCCAACCTTGACTTCAGCCTACTCCCAACACTTGACCCAACTAAAACCCAAACCCAATACCTACCCTCCTTGCCCCAAGCCCCAATTAAAGCCCAATTCCAAATTTTCAATTCCCTTTCTCCCAGCCCACAGACGAAAAAACCCTAGGAAAAGAAAGGAAGGAAGGAAGCAGCCAGCTACTTTTTCTAATTCAACCCCTCCTCCTGCCTCCTCTCCTCCCCTACTGTCGATTGTCGAAGCAGCACCAGCCACTAGCGGCGAGTCCCCGTCGGCCGTCACGGCGTCTCCCCGACCCCGACGGCCTCTTGCTCGTGCCTCACAGTCTCGACTCTCGACTCACCTCTCTCACCTTCCATCTCTCCCAGTCTACCACAACTACTTGGCGCCTCCTCCCACAGACCTTCTCTCCCGTCGACAGCCACCACTCGCCGCCCCGCCCACACTCCAAATTCAAAGTCCAATTACAGCTGCCCTGTTGCCAAATTTCAAGTGACCAGAAGGCAGAGCACAAAAAAAAAGGCAGCAGTTACTTTTTCGGTTCTGGGTGGGAAAACCGAACCGAACCGATCTATAATTCGGTTCGGCCATACCGAACCGAATTATAGCTCGGTTCGAATTCGGTTGGGGTAGTGGTGATTTCGGAAAATCGGCATATACTAGTTCGGTTCGGTTTGAACCGAACCGACCGAACGCCCACCCCTATATCAAACCAACAAAGAAACTATGGGAGAAGACTAATAAATAACTATATCAGAAAATATGGGAGATAACTTATGGGTAATGAAGGCTAATAACAAAAGAGAATGACGTAAGATTTGCAGTTGGTGCTGATCTTGTAGGGAATGTTTGACACCACAGAGGCCGGGGAGGGCAGCGGCGTTGTTTTGGTTTATGCCGCCGACTGAGCCGGCAGTGGATTTCAAGCACTCACAAGCAGCTTGACGGTTAGGTGTGGTCTTGGCCGAACCGTTGAGGGCCTTCACCCCATTGCAGCATCCCGCCGGGACTGCCCCACCGTTCTTCTAGTAGTTCACGCATGGGGCCAGGCTGTTCGCCACCTGACCGCATGTTGTGGCATCCACCGACGCCATGTATGGGGCTGCCACTAGGAGCATCGACACTATCTTCGCTGCAACACCTGCCATTCTCGCAACACAAAGACAAGAAAGTAGGACTATGAGAAGTGTAAAAGAAAGGTGTTGTGTTTCAGAATGCTGCTCGAGAGAATTAAGATTGCTGGGTGAGTGAATGTTGAAGCTCCCGGAGGAGGGTTTATATAGGGAAAGCAGAGGTTGGGTTTCGATTGTGGTTCTCGGTTGGCCGGTTAGTTCTGGGTCTCTCTGATTGGTCCACTGAATTACTCTTTGTTCGACGTATAACCATTTCCCTTTTTCATAGATAAAGGACATAAGGACACGTACCCCTCCCGCCTTCATTAGTCATTAATATGTGAACAGTCCGTTCTTGAGTAAATATCTTGGATGACACCTAAGTTTGAAAATTGGGGTAGATATATAATTTAATTTTGAATAGGACATCAGGTACCACTGAGCGCTATTATATGTGCATCCGGTATCACTTAAGTTTACAGCTAAGTGTGTTCCGTTAAAGTTGAAAAAATATTCTTGGAATATTCCGTTTTCTAAATTTAATAATTGCTCCTTCTAGTTTTTTTATTGAAAAAAAATCACTTGAAGTTATGAAAAACATCATTTTTTATTGTTTAGTTAGAATCTTCTTTTGAATACTTGATACCAAACCAATTTTTGAAAATTTAGAATCTATTATCATTATAGTTATTTTCAATTATCATTATGTGTTCTAATATTTGAATTATTCCATGAATGTTGTAACTTTTATAGTTATATTTTCTTTTCTATATTTTTCATCGAATCTTGTAGCTTTTATATTTTATTTACCACGTGGCTTCTTTACATCTCTTTTTGTTCTAAAATTTTCAATTAGTGGAATATGTTTAATTCTTTTTTATTGTGTTCCATTTATCCTTTTTTATGTTGATGTATTGATCATCGATTAGATTCTATTTTAACTATTTCTATTGATGCTTCTAATTGAATTAAGGGGTTTAAATAGATATTTAAATATTGATTTTAAATATTTATTATAATATTCGAGTATATTTATTATTCTTCTTGAAAGTAATAGGTAACTATATTATGTGATATCCTCATTGTATAGAATAAGACTAATCCATGAAAGTCTCACTAAAAGAGTTTTCGGTTAAAATTTTAGCCATGGGTTTTGTTTTCCCTATATTCAGTACCCGATTCAAAAGCCTAAAAATATAGGCTTGCAATTCCTTTTGCATGCAACAAAGGAATCCCGGCAAATGATAATTAACTAACCCAAGACTCACAAGCTTGCAAACGATTACATCTTACGTCTTAACATATTACGATGTATCTATGACTATAACACTCCCTCTAAAGCTGAGGTATGAACATCATGTAGGTCAAGCTTGGGAGTTAACAAATCGAACTGGTCCATACCAAGGCCTTTTCACTATAAAATTGGTAAGTTCTGGGGACGAAAAATGTCGTCTCCAAAACATGGGGTTTTCATCTCCAGATCTTTTGGAAACAAAAAATGTTGTCTTCACGAGTGGTGCATGTAGGTTCCGTCCACTATTCTTTTGGGAACAAAAAATAAAAGTCATCCCCAATATCAGGGACACATGGTTGTCTTTAAAATTTCAAAAATCAGAATTAATTTCCGTGCTTTTTCTACGAGTTTAGGACAACATGTCGTCTCCTATGCATTACTTTCGGAGATAAAAAGTCATCCCTTATGAATTATGTACGATAAAATAAGTAGTACTCTATCAAGCATTTTTGGAGACAACAAATAATCTCTAAGAAGTGTTTCGAGACACTAACCCTTGCCAACAACTATCTTTGAAGACTTCTAGTCCATAAGTCGTGCCCTAACATATCATCCCTTATATACAGTGTTATTTGATATACCAATTTGTCTCTTAAGAACTATTCTCCAAGTCCATAAGTCGTGCCCTAACATCTTCTTTTTGCGACAAAGACTCGTCCTTTGAGTTTCACTTCTTGAGACAACAAATCATATCTTAATAGGATTTCTCGAGACAGACTGTCGCCTTTAAGAACTATTTTTCGAGATGACAAGGTGTACTTGAAGTAGATTTTTGGAGACACTAAGTCATCTTGTAATAATCGTTTGTGGAGCCATCAAGTCGTGTCATAAATGTTGTTTTTCGAGACAATGGGCATCCCATATATACTAAAGTTAGAGACAAATCGTCCAATAAGTGCTAGTTTTAGAGACATCAAATTATTTTCTATATTTTAATACAACATATCATCCACAACTCCATCAAATAAAGAATATATAGGCCAGATATTAATGAAATCAATAGCATCCAAATGAATGAATATCTAAGAAAATCGTACTTAATGTATCATAATTATTCAAAATCATATATAAATAAGTACATTTGAAATTCATATGCCCAAAATATTGATTATATTAATAAAAATTTATTTCTCTTGAATCATCATAACGCAAATTTGATCCACAAATATGCTTTTTGTCTCAACTTCTTGAAAATAAAATGAAACCATATATTCAACATTCTAATTAGAGATATAGCCAACAACATACTAGTCAAGTGGGACCCGAGAAACAAAGATTGACACAAACCTTGCACAAGCCAAAAATCACTTCTTCTTTGGAGCAGAAGACTGAGCAATAACAAATTACTTCTTTGTACGTGAGGAAACTGAATTGTTGCCCATGCGAATGAAATAACCACTGGTAGATCGAAGTGTGCACTGAAAAACTCCCCAATCTGCATCACAATAAGTGATAACACCTAAAATAGGTGTTATTGGACCCTTATTCTTAAGGCATTTGCATGTTAAATCACCGCGTCTAGGACACATATCAAGTTATTTATGCCTATTTTCGTTCTTATTTGCAAAACATGTTTTTATGCTTTTCCAGTGTTTGTGATGAAATTCCAGGTCTTAAATGCATTTGGGATTGATTGAGAATCTACTAGAGTTCATCCGAACGGAGTTGGGAAGCATAGGAGCAAAAAGGGGAGAAAAGACACACGTCACAGCCGTGACCACTAGGCCGTGACCATGTTCACCGACAGAAGATCACGGTCGTGAACAGTAGTCGCGAACCTCAGCAAGCGACCAAGAAAAGGCCTAAGTTTCGACATCCGAATCGCTGACATGGTGCGTTTTGATCGCGAAATAGATCATGCTTGTGACACAAAGATCACGGCCGCGATCTTATCAAGGAAACACCGATCTTGGAGCTTAAAGATGGTGTCAAAATGTGACATTTCGGGCGAGTCTGCAACGTTCTAGCTGGTTACGGCCAGGTCATAGAGTGTTTTAAATTCTCCTTTTTCTGCCCTTGACAAGGGGGAGCCGACCTAGAATGAGAAAGTTAAGGGTTTGGACTGTTTTAGATAGAGAAACACCTTGGGAGAGCTTCATTGAAGATCCAATCAACCCAAGGAGCAAGAAGAAGGTCAAGCAAGGAGAAGAAGATTGATTCCATCACTCCTTCTCTTATAGTTTGTGTTTTCTTTCTCTCTCTATGACTTGAGTATCTAATGGTTGTTTAGGGAAGATGAACCCTAGTTTATAGGTTGTGTATGTTTGGGATTTTAATGAATGTGTTTGTTTAGTTGATTTTAATGCTTCATCTAGCTTTAATTGTTCTTGGGTAAGCCTCCCTAATATTCTCTACTAGTCTACTTGAGCTTCTACGCTGGGTATAGACTTTTAGGGTTAGACGGGTATGCGCCATCTGGCAAATTAGGGTTTGATGAATGAATAGGGTCTTGTGGTGGATGAGGCAACCGAACCTCTGCCACAAGAATGCCTTCTTAAATTGAACCTGGGATGAAAGCTCGGTGTGGACGATGGGCAGTACCCATTGAAAGGAGCTAGGTTCTTAAAGCCCCATATACGTGAGCCTATACTGAGGTGCCAATTGGGTAGGTAAGGCAAACTCGGAGGCATGTGGATAATCACGAAGTCCCACAGAAAAATCACCAAATTCTCATAACCTACATGACAACCATAGCTAGGAGGATTTGACCTTAGGAACCTTCTCATCTCTAGCGATCTCCCAATCACTTGGTTTGATGATTAGGAATAAATAAGGGTTGATTCTTCACCAACTTTTGATTGGATTAGATAGTAGTTCAGAGCGAAGTAATAGTAAGTTTAGGGTTACCTTGGAATACGACTGAGCCACTTTACTACAATCCTAGCTAGCTTATACTTGGCTTAGTTAGGATTGAATAGAGAGTGTTCATCGAATAATAAGTTTAAAGCTCGATAACGCAAGCGATCTAGATTTTTGGCGCCGTTGCGGTGGACCCTCGGTAACTAGTAGAAAACCTTCGAGTTGTTAATTTAGCCATTATTTTTTTGTATTTATATTATTTTAGTTTTTTTTATCGTTTTTTTTTATCAAGTACGTCACGAGTTGTTGTGTTTGTGTCTTGTAGTAGACTTGTATGCGAAGAACGGATTCTTTGGAGATACTACCTCTTGATACAGAAATCGAGAGAACCCTTTGGACTCTAAGAAGAGTTGCTAGACATCAACCTCCTCCAATGGCGGACCAACAACATCAATCTCAAGTTCTACCAAGGCCTAGAATAATGAGATCTACTCAAGGCCAAGTGTGGATAGTGTTCAATCCCCTATTCTTCACCCATCGGTGCCGAACAAAAACTATGAGATAAAGCCGAGCATAATTTTGATGCTTCAAAGTGAATTTTAATTCAATGGGATGATGAGTGAAGACGTCCACACACATATCAAGTCGTTCTACGATTTGATTGATGAAATTAAGAAAATATGATTCCTCAAGAGGCAATCCGTCAGAGGCTATTCTCGTTTACTTTAAATGGAGCGGCAAAGCAATGGTTGAATAACCATCCCCAACAATCCATTACCTCGTGGGCGGATCTTTGTGACAAGTACTTCGCAAGGTATATTTAACCCTCTAAGACGACCTTAATGAGAAGCGAGATTATTATTTTC